GAGTTTCAGAATTTTAGTACTTAGGAATTCTGGAATTTGTGATTTCGGGATTTCTGAATTCTAGAATTTGTGCACTAAGGAATTTGCTATTATAGGGATTTGAACATTTGATAAGTCCAAATAAGTTCAAACTTTTGGAATGTAAAGGCTTCCCAGGATTATTTATAGATTTAGAGATTAAAAACTAAAATTTGTCACTTTGCAAACGAATACAAAAAGTACCAAATAAAAGAGACGCTTTAAAATTAACACCAAAGGAACAATAATAAAAAATCTGTGAAACTGTCCAACGTAATCTCGCACTGAAAACATGTAAAGGAGAAAATAGAAACGATACGCGATTCGTTGGAATCCTGCGAGGTATCTACGAGCAAGAGATATTGTTTCCCGAGTAGAGGAATGTTAGTGCCGATATCGGAGGAGGGCTGCCAGGCTGCGTTCTGCATCAGCAATTTGCATGACCGATGATCGAGCACTGGCGTGCAACCAGTGACTAGGTGCATCGTCATTACGCATTGGCCAGATACGATCAAACTATCGGTAATGATAGTCGCGCGACCCGGCGCACGTACGCGAACGCCAGGGTCGCGTTTATTAAATTACGTCAAATTATTGGTACGCTCCGAGGGTCGATTATATCGGTGGTGCGCTAGGCAGCCGGCTTCGATCGCTCGTTCCACGATACTCGTATTTTCTACTTTCTTACATTTCCACGTGATCTCACTAACGATTAAGTCATGACAAGTCCTGTATTCTTGTAAACTTACTTCATTTTTTGTGTCGACTGTTTTCGACTCCTTTACCATGGACTTTGTTACGAAGTTTTTAAATTGTAATGATTTTTACTTAATAATAGCGTTTAACACTAGATTTACGGAACCCGTCAAAATGACGGATAATATTATATGACTGTAATATTGAAGTTATTTAATTCAATTTATATAATCATATAACATGTTCATCAAAATTAATATGTTCATAATATGCAAATTAATATATTCATAAAAATGTATTGAATTAATACGTTCATAAAAATTTATTGCATTCATATGTTCATAAAAATGTATTGAATTAATATGTTCATAAAAATATATTCAATTAATATGTTCATAAAAATTTATTGCATTCATATGTTCATAAAAATGTATTGAATTAATATGTTCATAAAAATACATCGAACTAATATATTCATTTGTTTTTCAGATTCGAACCGACGAAGGGCAGAAGAAGGCGAAGAGCGGTCCGGATGGGGCGTGATGGATCTCCGATGTCTTCGATTAATCAAAACTCAGCAGCTCAAGGACGTATCTACGATTCGAACCCACCATTTGTCCCTTAAATTCATCGCCATTACGTCAAATTATTGGTACGCTCCGAGGGTCGATTATATCGGTGGTGCGCTAGGCAGCCGGCTTCGATCGCTCGTTCCACGATACTCGTATTTTCTACTTTCTTACATTTCCACGTGATCTCACTAACGATTAAGTCATGACAAGTCCTGTATTCTTGTAAACTTACTTCATTTTTTGTGTCGACTGTTTTCGACTCCTTTACCATGGACTTTGTTACGAAGTTTTTAAATTGTAATGATTTTTACTTAATAATAGCGTTTAACACTAGATTTACGGAACCCGTCAAAATGACGGATAATATTATATGACTGTAATATTGAAGTTATTTAATTCAATTTATATAATCATATAACATGTTCATCAAAATTAATATGTTCATAATATGCTTATTAATATGTTCATAAAAATGAATTGAATTAATACGTTCATAAAAATGTATTGAATTAATATGTTCATAAAAATATATTCAATTAATATGTTCATAAAAATGTATTGAATTAATATCTTCATAAAAATGTAATGAATTAATATGTTCATAAAAATGTATTGAATTAATATGTTCATAAAAATATATTGAATTAATACGTTCATAAAAATGTATTGAATTAATACGTTCATAAAAATGTATTGAATTAATACGTTCATAAAAATGTATTGAATTAATACGTTCATAAAAATGTATTGAATTAATACGTTCATAAAAATGTATTGAATTAATACGTTCATAAAAATGTATTGAATTAATACGTTCATAAAAATGTATTGAATTAATACGTTCATAAAAATGTATTGAATTAATACGTTCATAAAAATGTATTGAATTAATATGTTCATAAAAATGTATTGAATTAATATGTTCATAAAAATGTATTCAATTAATATGTTCATAAAAATGTATTGAATTAATATGTTCATAAAAATACATCGAACTAATATATTCATTTGTTTTTCAGATTCGAACCGACGAAGGGCAGAAGAAGGCGAAGAGCGGTCCGGATGGGGCGTGATGGATCTCCGATGTCTTCGATTAATCAAAACTCAGCAGCTCAAGGACGTATCTACGATTCGAACCCACCATTTGTCCCTTAAATTCATCGCCATTTTAAAACCCCGATATTGCGAAAACGCACGGCGAAATTGGAAGAGGAACAACCGTATTACCGCGCGCTTTCTGCGATTGTCGATTGGGAAGCTTTTGAAGACACCTTTCGCGGAGAATTCGCGACCGGAGAAAGAGAGCTCCGAGTTTTGAATTATTTTCGTAATTTTGCAGATCAGAACGCGATTTTGATTTGTAATTTAAGGTTGATGCGAGTCTGCGTGACTTGAGGTGCGTTTAAATTGAGCGGACAAATGTACATTCTTCCCACAATTGTGAGAATTGAATTCCATGGGATTGGAATTGAATCGTGCAATCGAATAGTGTAGATTTGAATCAGAATTGATTCTCGTTGAATCCCGTGGAGTTTAATCGAATCGATAAAATCAAAACGTGTTTAATCGGATGTGGAATGATCATTTCCTCGTTTAGTTTAAAATTGTAAACGTATCCTTAGTCAGAAAAAATGCGAGGACGATTCAGTCCCAAAGTCTGAGCGATCTTCGAGTTTCCCAGATTGAGTTTGATTAAAGGGAGGAAAAAAATCGTTCTCAGACGAAGTAACGACCAAGAGAAAGTGGAATAAAAATGTCTAAATGTATGATTTGATGGATCACGAGACTGTTTCCCAGGAGGCGAAAATTTCGGAAGCGCTTCTCGTGAAAGAGGATAAAATTGCGGAATCGTCAGGCACACGATTGATTGACAAAGAAAGAGATTGACGCTGAAACGCGCCGTTTGTTAATCTAATAGGAAGCGTAGTTAAGGATTTACGAATGCCATAATAAACCAACTTCTTGTGGTTGTACTTAAGTCATACCTTTTACACTTTACTGTTTACTAAGGTTAAGTTACTGTTAAGTTGCATAAATATTCCATTATCAGACCGTCTATCGAGTTAAATGCTAAGGTTTATCTTTCATTCTCTTTTGTTTGTACATCCATGTACGTCTTCTCACTGCGACCTTTTTCATTATCGTTGGACAGATCAAATTATCTCACAGTCCGTGTCCAAAGTTCGATGAACGCCAATTAATTGTTACGCCTGTGATGTTGTCCGCTTCGAAACCTCGACAAAGTGCCCCTCGAATCTTAGATTTTTAACCTCTGAACGAATCAATGGGACCAAAATGACCCGCACAGTGCCCTTCTGCGAGATGCAAACGATCGTTTGTACACAGTTTTATTTTAATATTAATTACGTAGTTATGTACTTTTTATCCATAGTAAACGCATTGCCCACCACTGAACGATATAAGCGAACGAAAGTTCGCGGGCGCGCGAAAATTCGAATTCCCTTCTGTCTTGCTTCGAAGGACTTCGACGAAGGCCTACGACAGCCGAGATCGCGTAAAGGAGCTGTTTATCGGAAATCAGGTATCGAGACCGCCTGTCGGTTAATGGTCCTGGCCAGCCCACACGCTCTGGACCTTGGTCTCACTTTTGTGATTATTATTTAAGTAGATCTTAAGGTTAGGCTAGACTTTTTACAATGTTTCTCTTCCCATAGGAGAGTATTCGAAACATTCGGCTCGTGTCTTTATCAAAATAATCGCATCGAGAACGGTGTGATCGTAGCTGCATATTTTTAATACCACGAGAAATCAAATTTGCGAAGGAACTCTGCATTTATGATTCGAAAATCCCGCCAAGAATATGATAGAAATCCGGATGTCGGACACCGGTCATCCAGTTTCCCCTAGTTTTAGTATTTCTGTAACATATAAGTTTCACTAGTTATAACAGTAAGAAGGTGTAGATTTTTTGATTCTCATGATATACATATACATTCTATTTTGCGTATCTGAGCAAGAAGGCACTCGGTCCCCTTTACGGCGGAACTCTGTGCGCTATAATCGTTCGTCACCCAAGAACGAGTATCCCGTATGTCGACGTTCGCCGAGATTTTGCCAGGAGAACAGTTTGCAATGCTGCCAGTGTTTACCGTGTTAAATTCCCCATGATCCGTCCTGTACCGCCCACCAACGCATATACGTAATTTTACGCGCTTCATTACCGCGCCCTCATCCTCACCCGACCACTTTTCCCTACTTCCGTTAAGTCTAGTTCGTCACAGGGCATTGGATATAGTATCGTTGTCCGCGTCGTTACATCGTATTACGTCGACGCGAGACACTGCATTTTTAATCGCGTCGATTCCTGTCGTACGATTGGTGTTTTCATGGCGAAATACTCGTTGCGTAAGGGTCGAGGACCGTTGTGCCTTCGAATGCACGCGTTCGAATGATTTATGTTTAAGGATCGTAAGGACAGACATCCACTTTGTGATTTCGTAAGCAGTTGTTTAGTGTGTGTTTTTTTTTTGTACTTTCCCTTAATGCTTATCTAGGATAGCTTGTGTACCCTAAAGAGTGTTTCAATAAAATTGACAATGAAATCAATCCCTGTATTTTATTTATCATTTCATTGACGCGCGCTTTATTTGAACCAGTTCCTCAATCGAGTATCGAAATTGAGAAGAATCGAACGCGCCATCTTATGGCGGGAAACGGTTAACAAGTAGTCAAAATGGCTAGCGTGCGCGATACGAATTGCCGCGTTCTTTAATCGTCGTTTTTAGTGAAAACTTTAAGTGATTCCTGTCATTTTTATCAGAATTAACGCGTTTAATCGGTTTAGTAACGAGTGTTTGTGTTTGTTTAATCGTTAAAATAATTGTACGCGTTTATCATTGATCGACGGTCGGTGCTATCGGTTCCTTTTAGCGCGTGTGACGATGGTAAAATCTGTGAATATGGCAACTCACTACAAAAGAGTGGTACTGTGCCGTGGTTTGTCCGAAAAGAATGATTCGCAAGAGGCTTACATAAAAACGTTAAGAGCGGCTGGATATACGTGCGATTATTTACCCACTCTGTGTTTCGAATTTGTGAACGGTTCGGAGCTGCAGACATGTCTGCTGTCACCGCTTTCATACCATGGTAGTGATACTTCAAATGAGTTTCGTTTTATTTCTTTCAAATCTTTAATTGAGCGGACGCTTATAGGATTGATACTGACAAGTCGACATGCAGCCGAAGCAATTGGCCTTGTTTCCGAAGATGACAACGTTCTACGCCCTTGGAAATCATTACCAGTATACTGTGTAGGGCCAGCAACCGAATCCTTTGCCAAAAGTCACTTGGGTTCAGAGAACTGCTTTGGTAGTAACACTGGTAATTCCAGGGAATTAGCAGAATTTTTGGTTCAGTCTGTTTCAAAAGAATCGAAGCCTTTGTTATATCCTTGTAGCGAAATTGGAAGGGAAACTATTGAAAAGACCCTTAACGAAAATGGCATAAGTGTTCGTAAAATAGTTGCATATAAAACTTTGCCTAGTAAAACATTGGAACATGATTTGTTAAAATTTCTTGATAATAGTCCAAAGATATTTGTTTTCTTTAGTCCTTCTACAGTAGAGCATATAACAAATTCATTGAGAAAGAAATGTTACGATATGTGTAATATAAAAGCAGTTGCTATTGGCCCTGTGACTAGGCAAGCATTATTCGATGCTGATATAGAAGTTTTTGCAACTGCAAGTAAACCTGACCCTGCATCTTTATTGGAAGCTATTAGCAATGCCGAGAAAATGCAAGTCAGTGAAAAGATTGTATGAAGAAAGGAATGACATGTACTTTACTGTTGTTCCATGTAAGTATGTAAATGTTAATCTGTTAAATTGTAGTTAGATTGTTAATATAGCATCAAAGGGTATTTACTTTTATCTCTTACAGAATTGAAATGTGATAATTGATGTTTATGTTTAAAAATTATATACTAAGAACATAGTGTCATAAACTTTGTAGATATTTCTTTGTCAATGTTTATTATAATTTTACTTCTTTAATTATGTTATATAATTTATCTTGAATTTATTGAAATACAAACTGTAAGTCAGTCTATAAGTTCATAATTTTAGTAAATTTTATTTTTATTACAACAATAAATACATCTTACTTTGCTAAACTTATTAATTACAAAAATAAGGTTACAATGTATTTACAATAAAATATCCTTTAATAGTTATACATTAACAATGATACATTAGTGTATGATATAACATTGTATTATTTTGAACACTGATATAATTGGAACATTTACTTCCCTATCTAAAGGGAATTTTAAAATACGTTTTTCAGCATACACTTAAAGCAAGACTACAATAAAATACTAATGCTTAAAAATAACATACCGTTAAATTGATCATACAGAATGGAAAAACAATTTCTATAATTGTGCGTATCAGTCTTTACTGTTAATCTCTATAGGATTTCCTATTTCTTTCTTTTAATGAAAATATATATCTGTAAGAATGATTGCTAGAAAATACTGTTCCATGGAAACATTTATAATACTTAGAGTGACTGTGTTTGTACAACTATTTCCGCAGAATGTATATGTTAAAAATTCTAGTATCTATTTCGATTAACAACATTACCGAGAAGGCACGAAATATCAGCTCCAACAATAGTTGATTGATTAGCGTAATAAGGTTGGGGAGGGTTTCCCCCGTTATTGTATTTCATTTGAACAGCAGTCTCGTAATCAGGAGCAGGTCTGTACGATGGGAGTAAGGCACGTAAGTTGTTTATGTCCGTCGATGATACGGACACGACAGGATATGGCGACGTTGATAAATCATTATAACTTGTCCACCGTGTGTGACCCTCCATGTTCCTATTGTCCAAATTTACGGACACTGCATGATCCCCTGAATCGTTTGTATCGCTATCCTGAAAGATAAGATATTGTAAGCTGACGACAATACTTTATAACGTGTGAACGTAATACTACTTACAAAATACCCGTTTGTCGATCTTTCTAATGGACGAGATTCTTGGTGTTGCATATAAAATGTGTGTTGTGCTATACATAAACGCCACACATATTTTGCATTGCGCGATTCGTTGAATATAAATTGTTTTGGCTCCTCGCCTTCCGCTTGACATTCTATTCTGAACGTCTTTTTATGATTAATAACGTTGCTTATGTCTTTCCATCTGAAAAATATTTTCTTGTTAAGTAATCATTTTCAAATATATATTTTAAGAGAGAATTACCTGTAGAATTGTGTTGACTGAGTATTAGGATAAATAACCATGATCCCATTGATAGAAATCCCGAGTATTACCTCGTTGTTACCGTTATCCTGTAAGTCAATATACTAAGTCTTCGTTTTTAGGGCATTAAGTATAGAAGTAGTATTAGTACCTTAGTCGAGAATGTTTCATTTCCATATCCCTCTAACTGCATAACAATAGAAATATATAATTCCTCCGATGCAGCTTGAGTAACACCCATGAGATTCTTGTATTGGCATACAGCAGTATGCAAAAGAGAATCTAGACCTCCAGGATCTGCTTGAATTACATCCTGAAAAGAACAAAATAAAAAAGTGAATAAAAAATCTGAGGTTGTCTTTTTTTTTTTCAATTACCTTGGGAAACAGTGTGCATTGTTGAAGACATTCCATTGTGTGTCGTTCTGCATCATAATTACCAAATTCTGCCTGCATTGAGTAGCTTGCTAACAGAGTAGCTTGTCTGGAATTACATTGAAATCTACCTTCCAAAACATCACTCTTCAACTGAAGGTAATAGTGATACCTAAAGATGCAATATATGAAAGAAAAGATAATAAAGAACCACTTAAACATCTAGAACATGATTATATACCTTGTCATTTCATCTTGAATAAGTTGCACATCTGTAACATAGTACATCACTCTTAAATATAAGCTGAAACTTTTGGCCTCCTTTTCCAATTGTTTCTTTAACGGTTTGTCCATGTCTACCCATCTTGGAGAGAGGGAATCATGGCGGGAGATGTAACGCAGACCAAAAAACTCTGGCTGTCCCAAGCCTAAACGTTGTGTCACATTGTCTAAGCATTCTTGACCGAGACTGTCAATGCTCAATGTACATTCTATAGAAGTGGTATCCAATAACTCGATGCAGATCACATATTGGTTCTTTGAAACCACATTATACTGTCGACTTTTCTTCAAATGAAACTTAAACGGCATCTTAATAACACGTTTAACTGAAAAAGAGAAAATGGCCTTGAAGAAACATAAAATCTTTACATCCTCATTGTCTGTTGGAAACTACTTTGAGGATCAAAAAATAAAAGACAGAGTTGGCATAACAGGAGAATGACGCGCTGCTACTACGATCATTCAAGGAAAGTAAATACCTCATCACTATGAAGGAACACCGAAATGTTTCACGTTCCACGATACTTTTACTTTTAATCGAAATTTATGTACATACACCTACAGTATACATTCCACTCTGCCAAGCATGAGAAATGTATAACTTTTCATCGTTAATAAATCGAAAGCATTTCTAACCTCGTTGTTCACGTCATTAATGCTAGTTACAAAATTGCGGTATACAGTTCTTATACCGTGTGTCCTTGACGCAAAATGTCAAATGTTCGACCTTCGCTTTGTAAAAGATAAATTAAAATTGCCGCGAAAAATGTATAAATAATAGATCAGGCGCGTAAAATGTCGTAAACTAGCATATTGATAGCAAATAAAATTAACTGCACGAAATAATGCAGTATCCTTTATTCAGCTTTCGAACCGGATGAACTTTATTGTTATTTACTACTCGAAGCATACTAGATTAATATTACGTTCAATTACTAAAACTTGTTTACGTTCTCGATTATATTCTGTTTCTATGAAAAAATAACTGAAATATATAGATAGACGTAAAACTAGATCTAGTTACCGAAAAAAGTTCCTATCAACGATTTCATGACTTTTTGCACGTAACGTGTACCGAATGACTTATGACCTTATCGAAATTAATCGTGCGTCATTTATTGAATGTTTTTATCGCTTTTTATCGAGAACATTGCAAATAACGTGATAACTGCAGTAACTTGTGCGTTTCGAACTCGCTGCGCGGGAAATTTAAACTTCAATAAGACAACTACGAAACTTTGATACAATAAATATATTTTGTAACAAGTAACAATAATATACAAACAGCTAGGCAACACTCAATATAAACAACACTACAGACATTCGTAAACGTTTATAAAATTTATCGATGTACAGCTCGATTTTAAATCGAATAAAATTGTGTGGCCGTAGAGGATTGCATTTCTATCTGTCCCATTTTGAACTGTAACCTATGTAGCCAGCGTAACAGCATAGCATTCGATTCTCGACGAGAAGAGGCAAAGTGTTCCGACATCTTGTTGGGCGGGAAATCTCGACAGTTTTGCAAACGCACTTGCAAGTGTCCTGGTAGCTAATTCCAAAGAAATTGTTACTATTCTCTTATTAAATAAAGAATAATATTTACCTGAGCATGATGCGAATATAAAATTGGGCTCCAAAGTGGGAGGAGCTTGCTCAACAAAATGGAACCGCACTCGAGCAGGGCTTCCAGTAGACTCAAGAAGTGCAAGTTAACCATTTCTGCCAACTACATAAATCGGTACATTAAAAGAGAAAAACTATTTTTTCATAAAGTATACTTACAACTTTCGAATGTCCAACCAACTGTAGTATGCATGGTGTTATTTTTCCCCAGAATTCCAATAAAATATTCATGGTGATATTGTGACCCTCGCTGTTCGATGGATTGTTCTTTGATAGTTCTTCCAAATACATCGTCCACAACTGAACATAGAGTTTCATAAGATCTTTGAATCTTCGACATTGACAGTAAATTGTTTCTTGCATCGCAATTTCCGTATATGTTTCTTGTAAGTCATACCTGACAGAGTATGAAGGCATGGAACAATGAGGACATGTGTAGAACCGATGCCTTGGACTGTTCCGGAAACCCGGAGAATATGTACTGAACATGATCAGCAACGTGGCAGGACACTTCCTGTGGTATTGGTTGCGCTGTTGGGATCGATGGCCCATGACTATGCATATTGTTACTGCTGGCGAACATCGCCGTGTGCGTGAGGGATCCTAGTAACAGCCAGGATAACAATCTGATGTGCCCTATGCAGTCCACGTACTCTCGAGCTCTGAAATAATTTTTCTTTTAGTTAACAAAGTCAGTGATAATGTCTGTTAACAATTTTTGGAAAATAATCATGGATTGTTCTACTAATAGTTTGGACTAGTGAACATTGGTGTGACTAGGATTTTTCCCTAATTTACTTTACGTTCCATGCGAAGACCAATTCTTGGGATACATAAGACCTAGGTTCTACCCAGTCACACCGACGGCATTTCATTAAATCAAAGATTTACCCCTGTTGGGCCATGGATGGTGCACTGTAGAGCCACGGAAGATACCTAGCCACTGCTCTATTCTCCCTGTTATTGCCCCTAGTGATTTCTAAAGCCACGTATTCGGCGAGACCACATTTCAGTATACCGCCCAAAGTGTCTTCGTTTAGACCAGCTTGCATTCCCTTGCTGTAACTCTAATGGCAAAGAACCATTTCACAAGAAGATGAGGACAAATCACGATTTGTATTCAATAGATTCACTGTCATTTACCTTCACTTTGCTCAACGTGTGAAAATCGGCCAGGAAATCAAGTACGTCCGGTAGTTGGTTCTTCAGGGACTCGGAAGCGTTCGTATTATAAATCGGTGATACGTCCGTTTGGATGTTCTCCATTGCGATGGTGTTAGGCAACGATCCACCGATATCCTAAATAGATCGCCTCATAAGCATGCTATTCAAACAGCGACTAAAGAGTGAGCATAACACCACAGTGAGCGTAACCTACCTGAAGCACAAAGTGTAACAACAGCAGAAAATTGGAATCCGGTATGGTGGTTTTGAATTTAATCGCTTGGATCAGTTCAAACACTATAGTCCTACCGAAGAAGTGTTTGTCTCTGTCTCTGGTGAAGCCGCGATGACACAAGTAACACAGATCTGTCAGATAACTGTACTTGATGGTGGAATTTTGTATGGCGTAGCTCAACACTTTGGCGAAGGGATCCAGCATACCCTGTAAATTATCCTTCGATTTATCTGAGACATGTATTGAAGCAAGAGTGGTAAAGCAGGAAAGATGTCCTTTGAAAGTCTCGTGATTGGCCATTAAAATGTGTTACTTATGACCTGACCCATGCTGACCTTTGATTGCTGTATCCCTGGAACCTTCAGCAAAGAGATCATGATCCTCAGTAATGATGTGGTGTCCTCGATGGAGGAGAGCATTAACACTAGTCTCCGAAATAGACCGTCGAATTGTGCCAGCAGTCCGCTCCAGGTCGCTGCACCTGGACCTAGACCTGCCTCCAGAGGTAGACAGTCTAGGTAGCACGCTATGTTGTAAAGTATTATCGGTAGACGTTCCACTGGTAGCGATTTCTTTGCGTTTAGGGCCTAAAATGAATGTGAGTGATAACATCTGACCATCTCTACTCTAGATGATAGATTTACGAGATCTATAAAAAAGTTGTGAAAGAGGATGAGAGTCTAAAAGAGCATTCACCTCTAATAATAATTGCAAGGGTGCGATTGGGTTGAGTTCGTTGAAATCGACTAGTGCCTGAGTGACGCTCTTGAAGAACTGCATCCTCGTGGATTCTGAAAAGCGAATAACATCAATAATTTATTTAACGAGCACCAATAGCAAGCATCTGCACAAAGTATCTACCATTCAAGTGTGTTTGGAACATCTGTATGAATACACCGTTAGGCGCCAGTTGATGAAGAACGCAACGAAGGAACTGATGAGCCACGCTGATCGCACCACCCGGCAGGTGCATGTTGGTCTCACTTTGCCAAGGGTACATCGCATTTAGTGCCACTCTGCAAAGAAACACTTCGTCATTTATGCAAGACAGCTTCGTTTCTAGCATTTCACCAACTTTGTCACGACACGCAGGATTTCTGGCAGCAGAGGCGCTGCCAAGGACGGTTCGCGGTGGATGAACGTTCCAAGGTTGATGATACATAGGCCTAGTTCCTCGTCGGAGTATTCCTCCTTTATGGTTCCGCACTCTGAACATCTGCAGACAGAACTTAAGTTAGCATCGAAAGAAGTAGCTTAGAAGTAGCCACTTAGAAGTAGCTTCACTTCTAGATTAAGTTCACTTCAGCTGACTTTTTACCTTTCGTAAATACAGTCATCTCCTATGCGGAATAAGCTCTGCTTCAAACTGAAGTCAGCGTGACAGGCTTGCTGGGAGGCGGCATCGAAATTGAGCTGCAGTTGAGGACCTGACCTGTGGATTTGGATCTTTAAGAATTAAGCTAATAAATAGCAATTGAGCTTCAAGTTCATTTACAATCATGACTGTTATAACCATGATTGAAAGGTCATGCGACAATTGGGACTTATCCTCTTTTCGACAGACATCTGTCCATCACTTTAACTCACCAAGATTCCGTACGCCTCGCCATTGGTCCATCTTGCCCAACAAGACTGTCCTTCCGAGCCTTGTCTCGCTGAATGCGAACGTGGTCCTTGGTTTTGATTTTCCGATCCAGGTCAAATATCCTCCCGGGATAATCCAAAGACTCCATCGCAGGAGGCGGTGATTCGAGTGCCACTTGTTTGATCAGTCTCCTCGGGCTGGTGGACCTGCTCGAGTGCACCTCGTTCGATGTTGGTACCAGAGAAGCCGACTACATCATAAACGACAGATATAGCGACAGATATGCACTTTATTACAAAGATATAGCGACAACTATCAATACAAGTGATACCAGGTTCTCGGAAGTGGTACTGTCTTGTTTTACGGGCGCCTGTCCGTCCACCTTAACACCGTTTCCGTTACTGAACTTGTTCGAATCTGCACATTGAAAGATTTATCAGGAGATAGTACCATTTTATCTCTTGAAAAGATACCTTCGATTTCCTGAACCCCGAGTGCCTGGCGAACGTGTTCCACCAAACCAGAGAAGTCCCTGTGGGGTCCAACAGGTAGCAGTCGTTCAGGCATCGGGAACTCCAGCTGAGATATGCTCCGAGGGCTGGTTATGTCGCTGGACATGCACGTCTCGCTGTCCTGATCGAACGAAGAACCTGAAGAACGAGATTATTTATCGCTGCACTGGAGACGAAGACTGTCAGGGATACTCACTGACAGTCAACACGTCCATCTTGGACAAAGGCGACTCCGGCGAGCCATACGTGTCCTCGCAACGTAGGACGCGTTGAGTGGGCCGCACACCTGCAACAACCACCTCTTGTCTCCAGAAATATCCTAAAGTTATCCATCAAGATAACCACGTCATATCCGGATCTCCAAACGTACTCACCGACGGGACGAATAGCGGTGCCAATTGGCAGCAGACGTTCAACCGTCGGCGTAGTCAATGGATGAACAGAATCATTCCATCCAGGATGCTGTCCGTTCTCCGTGCTGGTGATTTGTGACGAGATCGAACTGACCGCGGGTGAACTCGATTGATCACTGCTGGTCACAGTGACCACCTGACCCGGGGATACTGGCGACGCTATGGTTACGCTTTGCTCGATACGCTTCTGGCGACCCAGCTGCTTCGAGTTTGGAGAGTCAGAGTTACTGGAACCTGCCGTCGGTGTCTTCTCCCTCGGCTGCTCGTATCTGGACACGTGTTCATGGCCTTCAAGCAACCGACGTAGTAAGAATAAGATAACTACCTTTGAATCTGAGGAGGTATAGTAGTGGCGAGGGCGCTGGATAGTCCGAAGGGCTTCGACGAGGCCGTGTCTCCGTTAAAGGCTATCTGGACGGTCACGTTCTTCTCTTCAACAGTTTTCTCTGGAATCGCTCTCTCCAGGATTCCTTTCTCCGGCACTGTTTTGTCCGTTTTCTCGCTCACTGCTCTGGTTATAGCAGTGTACTTCTGCAGGTCAGCCTGGCCGGTCAGTAACGGGCTGGTTACCATCATCTTCACTCCCTCGTGGACGCTCCATTTCTTTTGAGGTCCACCTTTTGTACTCGGCTAAAATTTTAATCAATTCGAGACAATTTTTAAAGTCACACCCCCCATACACTTTGAAGTATATAAAATTACAATGATGACAGAATGATACACAATGACAAGTACCTGATGAGTGTCGTCTTCGCTGCCCAAGAACCAAGTGGGTCTGCTAACAGTGTCCGACTTCTTGGCAGCGTGTTGGTTATTCCAGTCCATTTTAGCGACGATGTCTGTGGTGGTGGAGGATCTAGGTCCGTGAAGGGAAACGCTTCTGGTGACGATGGTCGGAGTTTCTTCCAGTTCACCGAGCGATCCACCACTGCTGCCATGTAAGGTGCTGTCAGATTTTGGGCTCTCGGGTATTGCGGCCAGCTCGGACTCCGTATCATCCGCATTGATCGAGTAGCTTTGCAGAGCATTCACAATAGCGGAAATTGTAACAAGCAGCTACCGGTGTAAGCACAGGCACGTGTGTGATGATGTACCCTCTGGGTCTTGGCTAGTTAACACTGTCTAGGAAGGACTCTAAAGGTTCATGGGACTAATTTCGCTATCAACGATGCTCGAATCGTTGGTGACACTACTGGACTCTATGAACAATTTACCAGTGTTTAACCCTTGCGGTTCATCTATTTATATGAAATATGAGGTGATGTGATCTTGATTCTGTCTCAATGATACAACGTGTTTGATGAAACAGAGATGTCACGAGGGGTGCAGAGTTCACAAACGTGTCTGGGAACATTCCAAGCTAGAGTAGCCTAATGCTCTACCTTTCCAGGGTAGGAGTCTATGTTATCTAAGATGCAGGAAGTGGATAAAATAACCTGGAGTGCTTGTTCGTGTAACGGCAGGTCGGTGTGCTTTCTTCCCAGTGAGTTTCCATTTGCCCGTGCGTTGGTCCGGGGCTACGTTGATGCACGGAGATCATGGGTGTCCTCATCGGAGTACTCTCTGCATTTATCTCTCCCATAGTCGTCATCAACTCATGATCCACACCCAGAGACGGTTGCGACACATCTACAGCAAAAGTAACATCAACCTTCTGCCAACGCTATAACATAAACCTTGTTCCACAAAACGCACCTCGTGACCTAGAGGGTGGAGCACCCATCACCAGAGTCGCTGGAATACGCTTGCACTGATGGTGCTGTGTATCCAACGTGTTCAAAACGATCTTGATGAGCACCTGCAGTTGACTGCACCAGGGTTGCTGACCATACTGACACTGCAACAATGTTCTGTTCATTCATTTGTTCAATTCAGCGAAGCTGGTTACTAACCTTGTACAGTATGACTAGCAAAGCCATCAGCCAGGAGCGCCTGTTCTGGGGTTCTAGGTACCATAAACTGTATGTAGGTGTTTGGTGGTCCGACAGAGGCATCCCTTGCGGTGGGCAGGGACAGTGTTGGAGGATGGCTAAGACGGGGGGTGTCATCACCCACCCCATCACGTGGTTCTGGTCCAGCAGTTGGGGCAGGTTCGCGATGAAGACGTTGAACACTGGAGATACTCTGAGGGTAATTGCAGGATTTCAAACTTGAATGACAGTACTCAGAGTAATCAGAATAGAGCAAACTTGATATCTGTTGCCATATATATTGCCCCATATTTCAAAGTCTTATATCAAAATTTCTTACCGTAATCGTTGAGGAGAAGTATGGAACGTGCGTTCCGTCTGATTGTAACCCAACAGAAGATACAAATGGCGCAGCACAATTCCTTGCGTCTTCGATAGAGGTTTCTCATCCGTTGGAAAGGCCTACAAATTTAAAATTGTTTTCAACTGGCACGACCTTACTTGATAAAGGATAACTTACTTGATCCTGTCTGGAAAGGAACTGCATAAGAAGGAAAACCAGCAAGTGCATGGTCTCCTTGTCAGCCTCCTCCAGATCGACGATCTTGTGGGTATACCCTGGCAGGGCGCTGGTTTCGTCCACCATGTTCAACGAATGAACGTGTCCATCTGTAATGGTCAATGATATTAAATCCCGCTCTGACGAGCTTGATTACAATTTTATACCTTACCGTCGCTGTTTGCAGTTTGAAATTAAACTATACTAAGCATTCCACTTAGATTATCATGCATTAAAGCATATTGAATCAAAGAGCTTGCATTATTTAGGAGAATTCTACCATTAATGGGGAAGTTCTAATGAGGTCTAAGATAGCCAATGAAGTCGGTATGGTTAGGGTTCTAGGCATGTGGATAGTAGCCACGTTCGCGACTTCCGAACACTTCAAACTTAACAAACTTTCTATACAAATTTTATCTATAATTTATTTTACCTTGAAACAAAATACATTCGTGTCGCGAATTTGGTTACTAAGCTACCAAGCGACTACAAGGATCCATCAGAAATAAGAGGATAAAGCATCAACGCTTTTTAAGCCAACTACGAAAAGCAAAGTGTGTTCCATTTTTAAATGGCAATTCGATTTAGCTAAAAAAGAAAAGCGAATTCCTCTCGAAGGGCAGCACAACCATCGACTTACCACACGGCCTCCACATCGAACACAACACATCCTTCGAAATCCTCGGAACGTTATCACGGTTTCCGGTATACAGGGGATAAGGGAAGGTAACACTGACGCTTAACACAGAGTAACGCCACGTCTATAGCTACTGCAGCAACACTACTCTACCTGGTATACTGTTATTAGGTGGGGTGGACCCCAGCAACTGACCCAGTCCGAATCTGGAGCTCTTGCGCTTCAGGATAGGCGCCGAGTATTGCCGGCTGTACACCTTTTCCTTTTCTGAGCGGGTTCGGAACGGTGGAACAGGTCAGAAACACGTGTACGATCAGGGTGCTTGAGCTGCACTAATGTTCTATAACAGTGATGGGCTACTGTGCCCGCGAGGGCATTCGCTACTGTTGGTCAGCTTATTTATTTACTGTGGAAATTTTTACAAGTTAAGTTAAGTCTTCAAGTCTTTAGTCCCGTATATCTTCTGGATTGTCTAATTTTCAGATCTATAAATTGTGTGATAAGCAAAATCTTTGAATTTACAAAACTCAATCTTCCAAAATCTTTTATTCTCATATTCCTTATACTCTCAAATCTCCTATATCCCTGTCAATGCGTGCTAGTACCACGCATGGTAAATCGGCGCGTGGTAGTTCTACGCGTGGTAGTTCCACGCATAGTAAATCGGCGCGTGGTACTTCTACGCATGGTAATTCAACGCGTGGTAGTTCCACGCGTAATAATTCAACACGTAGTAACTCCACGCGTGGTAATTCAACACTCTGGTCTATCTTCCTATACTCGCGGAGGAAATAAAGTCACTCTTGTTATCTGTTAATTTGTTAAAACCTTGTTTAGCCTTAATTTTGTCTTACTCTCAATCTGATGCAAATCTAGTCTACAATTACGAACAATTGTCTCTAGATCTGAATTAGTATAACTAACTCATAATATATTAAAAATCGATGTAAATATTTTTAGAATCCAATAAATTGTCTTATCATGTCTTACGCAATATATATTACAATTTATTTTCCTGTATATACAATTGTCCATTTTGTGTTTCAGACTTTCAGAAGCTCGAACGTGAGGCACGGATATGCAGGAAGTTGCAGCATCCAAATATCGGTAAGCATTATTTTCATATTGTTTATATTACGAAATACAGTGTACAATGTGGCTGTGATCGAAGTAGGCGTTTCTCGACGAGGTTACAAATGATTCATGTCACTCGCGGATATGTAAATATCGAGATAGGTTGAAGATCGTGGCGGCTTTGCGTTCAGGCTAGTAGATACGGCTCTCGCTGGTCAGACACGCGAGCGTAAAATTAGACCTTCGATCTCTATACGTTATACTTGTTTCTTTATTTTTGGGCTTAGTATTGACGGAAATCATTAACATGTCAATTGCTGTCGTAAAAAATTACGGGATCGTGTTTGACGGTACTTTAGTGGACTCTGTAATTTAACGCGTGGTAAATCGGCGCGTGGTACTTCTACGCATGGTAACTCAATGCGTGGTAGTTCCACGCATGGTAGTTCAGCGCGTGGTAGCTCCACGCATGGTAAATCGACGCGTGGTAGTTCCACGCATGGTAACTCAACGCGTGGTAGTTCCACGCATGGTAGTTCAGCGCGTGGTAGTTCCACGCATGGTAGTTCAGCGCGTGGTAGTTCCACGCATGGTACTTCTACGCATGGTAGTTCAACGCGTAGTATTTCCACGCATGGTAAATCGGTGCGTGCTACTTCGACGCGTGATAGTTCCACGCATGGTAAATCGGCACATGGTAATTCGACACGTGGTAGTTCCACGCATGGTAAATTGACGTATCGTAGTTCAACGCGTGGTAGTTTACCAGTTGGTATTTCAGCGCACAGTAGTGCCACGCATAGTGGATCGACGCGTAGTAGTTCAATAAGTGATAGCTCCACGCATAGTGAATCGAATCCTCAAAATCCCTAAATCCCCCACATCCCCAAAGCTACTTCGCAAAATTCCTAAAAGTACATTTACAAATTTCTACTTTGAACGTCGACGTTTTAAACTGTCGCCATCACTGTCGTGCCCATCACTGTTCTATAATTCTATGAGTCCAACGTGATCAAATTGTTGTAAATCTATAATTGTTTATCATCAAGTACGATGACTAATATGTAATTCTATGGAGTGTGTGACTCGTGTACCTTGCTTGGTATCCTGTCGAGGTATCATCGACGCAGGCGCCGACATTGTGCGTTTGTAGGGCCACTTGGTACCAAAACTCGCGCTCAGTGTCTTTATGGAGTTGGTCCCGCTTCCGTCTGACTGGGACAGCGCTTCCTGGGCCCTGTGAAGCTTCTTCACGAAGATCTCGCTGTTTAGGTCCGTGTTCCTAAGATCTACGATGTGGGTTTTTGATTTGTAACTATTTAGGAATTAGTAGTTTAGGAATTTGGGGATGTGGAGATTTAGGAAGTTGAGGATTTGGGGTGAATATGGAGATTTGGGGATTTGGAGGCTTGAGGATTTGGGGATTTAGGGACTTGAGGATTTAGGGACTTGAGGATTTAGGGATTTGAGAATTGGGGGATTTGAGGATTTGGGGGTTTGAGGATTTGGGGGTTTGAGGATTTGGGGGTTTGAGGATTTGGAGGTTTGAGGATTTGGGGATTTGGGGATTTGGGGATTTGGGGATTTGGGGATTTGAGGATTTGGGGATTTGGGTATTTAGGGACTTGAGGATTTGGGAATTTGAGTATTTGGAGATTTGAGGATTTGGACATTTGAGGATTTAAGGTTTGAGGATTTAGGGATTTGAGGATTTGGGGTTTGAGTATTTGGAGATTTGAGGATTTGGACATTTGAGAATTTGGGAATTTGAGGATTTGGAGATTTGACAACTCGGGGATTTGGTAATTTGTGAATTTAAAGGTTCGATTAATTGAGAATTCGGGAATTTAGAAATTCGATTATCTCTAACTCCCAAAATTCGAAAGTCCCAAAATCCCAAACTCGAGAAGTACCAAATCTCCCAATGACTCCATAATCCCCAAAAATCTCCCTCTCGTCCCAAATTCTTGACTCCAAACTCAACTTATACCATCAGTACATTTTAAACTCCTCCATCCTTGAACTAACCACGAAAGTACGGCGCATCCCCAGACCTCTCCAAATTAATCTGAGCCTCCAAAAACAGTGCATCAAACCGATTAAGAAAGAACTCCCACGTCAAGATATGTCTGTCACTGAGACTGTTATGCAACTGGTATAGCGATTGCAGCACCATAGGTCGATCCACAATCACCGAATCGAACTGCGTCTCCAAACAGAGGATCAGTGACTGCAAAAATGTTTACTTTTCACATAGAACCTACTTCAGGTTTTGGTCATCAGCTCTTAAATACTGTGTAGACGAAATTTACCCTCATAGCTGTGTCATGAATGGTACCAAGATACAAGGTAGATCTTTGCGCGACGTAAACGTTATTGTCGTCCATGCTGGCGATCAAGTAGCAGAATGCGTTCGCCAGAGCAGCCTGTAGACTCATGACATTCCTCAACGGGGTGGAGTCCATGAACCTTGCGATAAGGGTCACTCTTTCCACTGTTGGAAATTAAAGACCTTATTCCAAATGTTTTGGGAAACTAGCAGCTGAACGTGTAACTTGTCACACCTGCCACGAATCGAATTCGCCAGTCGGAGTTGTGGAACTCTTCCTGAATTAGTCGCCAGAAGGTGTCTGTTCCGCAGGGTAAAGTCACACAGTGCAACAATAATGGTACTGTCACTTGGGCTATGTGCGAGTGCTCGGCGTTTAGGAGATCCCATAGACTGCAGAAAGGTGTTCAGTTGAAAGTAGTTTGATACATAAATTATTCTGACGGGGAGTTAGCAGATATGTAAAATGCAAAAGTCTGAAATACCTGACAAGTGTGTTGCAACTGAAAGTCAAGGTAGCAGGTTATTTTGATTAAAAGTGAATGCATCGGTTTTTAGCTAATAAGGGTAGACGAGCTAACACGCAAGGACTTCATATGTGACATCGTATGGAGCTACTAATTTTTTACTAATACTGGTTACTAATAATGGCTACTCGAATGTGCTAACCGTATCGTATGTACTAATTAGAGAAGCTATTAATCAAAATTGATAATATGTGACACATGATGCTGGTCAAAGTAGATTAATCTAATATGAAATTTCTCTAACAACCTTAATATGGAATTTCTCTAACAACCCTGATTAACATAAATTCTTCAAATAAGGTACTTTTTTCACAGAACTCAGATTTAATAAAATGACTCACTTTTTTATCAGCAAATTTTCCTGACACCATATGAAGAATCCCTGATGATCCTTCACAGCGATGTTGAAGGCATCTCCATATAGACACATCACGTTCAAACATTGCAGCATGTAGTACAGAATATCTGGCTTATCAATCGTCATTATCTCCTACAAACACAAAAAATACAAGGTTCAGTAACTTTCTTCAGACTTCACCACTAAACATACCTTCAGAAGCTTGTGAATATACTGAAGCTGTTCTGGAAGATCCTCGATGTTAAATCTAAATTTCCCGACAGACGTGTGCCAGAAATCATCCGCCTCGTTTTCTGGACTCAGATTTAACGGCTGATCGTTCTCTCCTATTAGTCGAGCTTTTGCCACGCTCACTGTTGCTGTTGCTAAAACAACAAATTTAAATGGTTCTTGATAGGTTCAGGTAGTATTAGTCGATATGTGGTCAAACTAAGAGTGTTGCTGGAGATCAGACGTTTTGTAGGATTCAGTAGAATGAGTCTGTGTATGGTCAGACGTGTTAGGGTTAGGGTTATGTAGGTGGAAGCATATGTGGTACTCTGGCGCGTGGTAATTCAATATGTAATACTTCAACACGTGGTAGATCGACGCGTGGTAGTTCTACGCATGGTAAATTGGCGCGTGGTAGTTCCACGCATGGTAAATCGGCGCGTGGTAGTTCGACGCGTGGTAATTCAACGCGTGGTAATTCCACGCATGGTATATCGGTGCGTTGTAATTCGACGCGTGGTAATTCAACGCGTGGTAATTCCACGCATGGTAGTTCGACGCGTGGAACTTCAACGCGTGGTAGTTCCACGCATGGTAGTTCGACGCGTGGAAATTCGACGTGTGGTAGTTCCACGCATGGTAGTTCGACGCGTGGAAATTCGACGCGTGGTAGTTCCACGCATGGTAAATCGGCACGTGGAAGTTCGACGCGTGGTAGCTCCACGCATGGTAGTTCGACGCGTGGAAGTTCGACGCGTGGTAGTTCCACGCATGGTAAAT